TTTTTTTACAATTTCTCCTAAAACTCTGGATTGTTTCATCAACCCAAGGACAAGATAATTTATGGGAGACAATGTTTGATTTCACTGGTGCCACTTTATCTAAAGTAGCTAAACACTGATTATTAAAAGACTGAATAAAAATATCTGCATCACTGCATCCCATCAGTGAACATGGGTCAAACAAGGCAGAGAACCTCTCTGCAGCATCATGATTAATAATCCGCTTCTGGGGCCGTATTACAGAAGGTTCCTATCTTAAGTCTTAAGGTTAAGACAGGAAGTGTCTAAGATGGGATATTTCTCAATTTGGTATTAAAGAAACAAGTCCTAACTAACTTTATATGGAAGACTTAATTGGACTTTAATATTTGTAACCCACAGAAGACAATCTACAAATATGTACAATGATGTGCAAATATTTCACTATCTGCAAATGTGTATTTCTACATCTGTGATGTGTAAAATCATATCCACAAAAATACAGGGTGATGTGTACACACATCTGTTTTTACACATTTGCAGATTACTTCGTGTGAATTTGTGAGTCATGTTACATTTGTAACTTCCTTTTTATACATTTGTGTAATTATGTCCTATGTGTACTGTGGAGATCTGTAAAAAAAAAATATATACACAAATATCACACGATTTGCAAATACACACAAATCTGTACAAAGATCTTTTTATTTCACATACAAAGTGTGATTTACGCATTTGTGGATCCATTTCTACAGAAAAAACTGTTTTTACACATTTGCGAATTGCTTCCTGTCAATTTAAAGGTCACGTGACATTTGTCATTACACGTAACAAGCTTATATTAAATCATTTAGTTCACCTGGAGAGGTTTTATGATTTTCACAATAATTGGTTATTCCCTCTACAAGTGGAATTAGCATGCCAATCTCTTATATAGCCTCCATTTACCGCAGTCCGCTGATCAGTTAACATTTAGGTAACATTATATAGGGATAAAATCAGTAGGCTAGGATAGTTTGACAGATCAGTGCAGAAAAATCATTATCTTAACATTAGTGACAGTAAACCATGGGGTCACCAGTGTTGGGCAGTAACGTGTTACTGTAATATTACTTTTCCCAGTAACTAGTAGTGTAACTAATTACTTTTCTAAAACAGCAGCAGCGGCCAAGCCAAACACAGGCGCCACTTTGTCAAAAAAGTTGATTCAAGTGTTTTCAGGAGCGTACCAGGGAGCATTGAGCTCTTCCTGTATAACACACTGAGGTGACTTAGTTTTTCTTGTGGTCTGGAGGCAGGCCGACCTGATCTCGTATTATTATAATTGATATTTCTTCTCCACCATTACTCATAATAATAATTCATGTATCACCTAATTTCATCATAACACAGGCCTGGCCTACAAGAAAGAACAGTGTATGTTTAATCTAATATTTTGTTTGTCATACTATAAACCGATTTGCTGCTTGCATTTATTTATTGCATTTTATCAGACTACAACGAGGACCACAATGGAAATAAGTTTGTAACTTTCTTGTGTTATCCTCGACAGTACTGATGAATATATGTCACTGCGATGGCATCTTGTTATGTATTTATTTTTGCTATGGTCTAAAATCAAAAGGTCTGTTTTGAATAATACAGAAGGTAAAAATCTTAAAAATTAATCGCATATTAAAATCGCAGTTGCAATATTGGTTAAAAAAAATTGCAATTACATTCTTTTCTAAAAATTTTCAGCCCAACATCTGACTGGCCTCACAACCGCAGACCACGTGTAACCACACCAGCTCAGGACATCAACATCCAGCATCTTCACCTCCAAGATCGTCTGAGACCAGCCTCCCGGACAGCTGCTGCAACAATCGGTTTGCATAACCAAAGAATTTCTGCACAGTCAGGAACCGTCTCAGGGAAGCTCATCTGCATGCTTGTCGTCCTTATCGGGCTATCGACCTGACTGCTGTTCGTCGTCGTAACCAACTTGAGTGGGCAAATGCTCACATTCGATGGCGTCTGGCACTTTGGAAAGGTGTTCTCTTCACAGATGAATCCCGGTTTTCACTGTACAGGGCAGATGGCAGACAGCGACACCAGATACTGACTGGTTTCTGGACCCCCCAATACAGTGAAACTGCACATTTTCGAGTGGCCTTTTATTTTGGCCAGCCTAAGACACACCTGTGCAATTCCTGTGCTGTCTGATCAGCATCTTGATATGCCACACCTGTGAGGTGGATGGATTATCTCAGCAAAGGAGCTCACTAACACAGATTTTCACAGATTTGTGAACAATATTTCCCTTTTGTGTACATAGAGAAAGTCTTAGATCTTTGAGTTCAGCTCATGATGAATGGGGGCAAAAACAAAAGTGTTGGGTTTATAATTTTGTTCAATGTATTTGTTTGTACTGTGTTTAAGCTCATTCTCCTTGTGTGGAATTATATGGGTGGGCTGCCCAGGTATATTAATGGCCGTCCAAGAACATTTAGCGACCAATTTTAGTATTTTGAACTCGGGAGTTATTTATTAAGTTACAAGATGTTGACACACTGGATATTTTACATGCAGAACTAAAAGGAAAGCAGATTAAATTAGTGAGTTAACACTAAGGACCTTGAAATGCTTTTTACGGAGCCACTCCTTCGTTTCCCGAGCGGTGTGTTTGGGATCATTGTCATGCTGGAAGACCCAGCCACGTTCCATCTTCAAGGCTCTCACTGATGGAAGGAGGTTTTGGCTTAAAATCTCACGATACATGGCCCTGTTCACAGATCAGTTTTCCTGTCCCCTTTGCAGAAAACAGCCCCAAAGCATGAGGTTTCCTCCCCCATGCTTCACAGTAGGTATGGTGTTCTTGGGATGCAACTCTGCATTCTTCTTCCTCCAAACATGATGAGTTGAGTAAAAAGTTCTATTTTGGTTTCATCTGACCACATGATATTCTCCCAATCCTCTTCTGGATCATCCATATGCTCTCTGGCAAACTTCAGACGGGCCTGGACATGTACTGGCTTAAGCAGGGGGACACGCCTGGCACTGCAGGATTTGAGTCCCTCTCGGCATAGTGTGTTACTGATGGTAGCCTTTGTTACTTTGGTCCCAGCTCTCTGCAGGTCATTCATCAGGTCCCTCCGTGTAGTTCTGGGATTTTTGCTGACCGTTCTCATGATCATTTTGACCCCACGGGACGAGATCTTGCATGGAGCCCCAGATCGAGGGAGATTATCAATGGTCTTGTATGTCTTCCATTTTCTTACAATTGCTCCCACAGTTGATTTATTCACACTGACCTGCTTGCCTCTTGTAGATTCACTCTTCCCAGCCTGCTGCAGGTCTACAATTTTCTCCCTGGTGTCCTTCGACAGCTCTTTGGTCTTGGCCATGGTTGAGTTTGGAGTCTGACTGTTTGAGGCTGTGGACAGGTGTCTTTTATACAGATAACGAGTTCAAACAGGTGCCATTAATACAGGTAACGAGTAACTTCTTAAAGAAGAAGTTACAGGTCTGTGAGAGCCAGAAATCTTGCTTGTTTGTGGGTGACCAAATACTTATACTGATTTCCTGGATTTTTTCCCCCTCATTTTGTCTCTCATAGTTGAAGTGTACCTACGATGAAAATTACAGACCTCTCATCTTTCTAAGTAGGAGAACTTGCACAATCAGTGGCTGACTAAATACTTTTTGGCCCCACTGTATACCCCAATAACATCGAGGAATGTGGGATTACTGCTAACTTCACAATATTTATAACAATATCTTTAGTAAATTAGATGTAAAACAGAACAAGGGGAACATGTTGCACTCAGGAGGAGGCGGCTAGAAGGAGCACATATTGGCACACTGGCATCGTGCCTCTGGCTAAATCTACATCTGTCCATTGCAGAAACTCTATCCACAACCTGGAGGAGGAACTACTATAAATTAGTGTATTAGTATATTGTAACACTAAATAAAAAGTATAATGTTATCTTTATAATTTAATATAATTGTATACTATCACTTATACTAGGAAAGCATTAATTCCAGTTACAACAGTTTCATTTTTGTGGCCTACATAGTGGTTAGTCTCTAACTCGCTATTGCTGTGATTCGTCAGTTCACAAAAAGTGACAATGACGAGCTCAACGGCTTTAGATAAAGTTGGGGGTGGAAGACTGAGGAAGTTTGTGGTCTTTACTCCCACACTGTCCTCTTAAAATAATTTTTCCACTCTGCACATATCTATGTTTTGGGGCATTTATCAGTGCACAGCATGAACATGCAAAAAATTTGCATTGAAATGATGCATTAAAAAGTTACAGGTTACCAGTAAATAACAATCCAGCCTGAGTGGAATAGAGGAGACCAGCATCAGCATCCAATCTGCCTAAAATACAAGAGGAAGAAGCATCCTTGGCAGCCTGAGTTTGTTTTTGTTTCATTAAACTGATCCAGTTTGATTAATTGAGTTTTAGCAACTTGAAGAGTTTTTGGATTAATGAACACTTCCCTCCACCTTCCTTCTGAATGTGTGACCCTGAAGAGAAAGACAATACATTTTCTGAAAAGGCGCCACTTGATATTTAGCTACGGGAAAGAGAGGGGTTCAAATCCCACGAATTCAGATAAGAGTAAGACATTTCAATGCTATAAATTCAGTGGAATTTGACGTTCATAATTAGGTATGATCGAAACTTTGTGTTCATAGAACATTAACTCTGCCATGCACACCACCACCACAACACCTTATGATGGACATCACTCAGGCATCGCGTAAGATAGCATACTCCACCCTCCCACCCAAAGCTTTTCTCAGAATAAAAGGAGTAGGTGGAGTGTCATTTTAATTTAAGTACAACCACCAACCTACAATACCTCCATCACTGCTGACACTCTGCATCATTACGGCAACATTTCCACGTCCTTCTGATAAACACCAATATCAATAACTAATTTTTCAGTCAGGTCATAGGATTTTCTCTGACTTTAAAATGTTTTAAAACAACAAGATGCTTTTTGGATTCAAACTCAAAACCCACCTGGCCAGTTTCCCCTCTCTGTATGTGCGTCCCCAGGGGTGTCTGTGTTTCTGCAGTGGCCACACGTCCGGCAGCCAGAGAGTTAATGATCCCTCCATTAAATCCCCCTCTGCACACGCTGGCTCGCTCTCCCGACAGTAATAACACTTTCCATAGAAACACGTATTATTACCTAAAGAGAGAGGGAAGAAAGGTACCTGTGAAAATAAGTCCACTTGACCATGTCTTCTTGAAAGAGATGCAAACACAGATCAAAATGAGTGACCGAGTGTGAGAACAGTGAAGAAATGTCAACACAATTGCCTCAAACACACACACAGGCTGAACTGACTATTTGCATGTTTACATATGCCTCACATCCACAACATCTGATAGTCCAAGGTTATTTCATGTCATCATTACTTTTCAGCACATTGTATACAAACAAACTGGATTTTAACCCACAAACACATGATTACAGGCAGGGCGCAGCAACACGTTTTTTTCTTCTTCACAGTGAGTTGATGTGATCTGGGTCTGCGTTTCAAAGTCCGTTCTTAAACCAGACCCGGCTCAGTCTGATCATATCAGCTAAGAGTTGGCTTTAGGAAACACAGTAATCCTGGTTTAGTGTGTTAGACTTATTCAAGACGGGCTTTTTACAATAAATCCTGCCTTTCTATGCCACCTGTCCTGGGGGAACAAGCTCTTTTTGTTTAGCTATGAGCAGAGGAAAAGTCTGCTAGCCGCTAGGAAAATTTATGCAGTGTAAGATGCTGTAGGCTTAAGCCAATGATGGGGACTAGCAAGTTATAACCTGTGGGGTCATGTTGGCTCGAGTTATACTAAACATTACATTTACATTAACTCATTTGGCAGACGCTTTTATCCAAAGCGACTTACATTTGAGGAACAACATACAAGCATCAACAGAGCATCAATTACAGATCTACAACTGACAAAACATACTAGTAAGAGCAGCAATAAAATACTAGTAAGAGCTCACAGTACATATCACATCAATGGGGTAGATACCTAGGGAAGGAAGATCATTGTAGGGGATAGAAGAAGAAGAGCACAGGAAGTGCATGTTAGGGGTTAGGAGTTAGAGGTGTTATAAGAGGAAGTGTTCTCGGAAGAGATGAGTTTTCAAGAGCTTCTTGAAGTTAGAGAGGGACGCCCCTGCTCTGATGGCGTGTGTTAGCTCGTTCCACCATCGTGGTGTCACAGATGAGAATAGCTGGGACTGGGATTGCTTTATGTGAAGGGATGGCAGAGCCAGGCGGCGTTCGTTGGAGGAGCGTAGCAGCCGAGAAGGAACGTAAGTTTGTATTATGGAGTTTAGGTAGATGGGTGCAGACCCAGTAGTCACTCTGTATGCAAGCATTAGTGACTTGAATTTGATTCTGGAGGCCACGGGGAGGCAGTGGAGGTCACTGAGTAATGGTCACTGCTGCATTCTGCGATTTGTAAGGGTTTCACCGCACAAGCTGGAAGACCTGCTAGGAGGGCATTGCAATAGTCAATGCGAGAGATAACCATGGCCTGTACCGGAAGCTGGGTGGCGTATTGAGTGAGGTAGAGCCTGATTTTCCTTATGTTGTATAGAGCAAAGTGGCATGACCGAGAGACAGCAGCAACATGGTCTGAAAAGGACAGCTGGTCATCAATCATGACACCCAGGTTTCTCACCACCTTGGCTGGAGTCATGGTTGCGGAGTCAATTTGTAGTTTGATGTTATGGTGGATAGATTGCTTGGCTGGAATGACCAAGAGTTCAGTCTTAGAGAGGTTTAGTTGAAGGTGTCAAGCCTTCATCCATACAGATATGTCCGATAGACAGTCCGTGATCCGCGCCGAGACAGTGGGATCGCCTGGCGGGAAGGATAGGTAGAGTTGTGTGTCGTCTGCGTAGCAGTGGTAAGAGAAGCCGTGCAAGCGAATGATCGGCCCCAGTGAGGTGGTGTAAATTGAGAAGAGAAGGGGCCCAAGCACTGAGCCTTGGGGCACCCCTGTGGAGAGGCAGTGAGAGGAGGATAATTGTCCTTGCCACAAAACATTGTAGGAACGCCCCGAGAGGTAGGATTCGAACCACAGGAGTGCTTTACTCGAGATGCCCATTACTGAGAGAGCGGATAGCAGGATCCTGTGGTTGACTGTGTCAAAGGCAGCTGATAGGTCAAGCAGGATAAGAACCGAGGATTGGGCTGCAGCTTTAGCTGACCTTAGGGCTTCTGTTACAGACAGAAGAGCCGTTTCAGTAGAGTGGGCACTCTTAAAAACCAGACTGATATGGATCTAGGAGGTCATTCCCTGAGAGGAATTCTGAGACCTGTTTGAATACTGCCCGTTTAATAGTTTTGGATAAAAAAAGGTAGAAGAGACACTGGTCAATAGTTCTCAACTTGAGTTGTGTCAAGTGAGGGCTTTTTGAGCAAGGGTGTAACCCGAGCCCTTTTGAAAGTGGTTGGGAAGGTTCCTGAAGCCAGAGAAGTATTTATCACGTGAGTGATTGTTGGGACCACAGTAGGAGATATCAAAATTGTAGCATAGCTACAGTGGCTGACACAGGACAAAAGATGGAGTCATCTGAGACAGCAGAGAGTAGCCACTCAAGGAATGAGGTTTCTTTAGATAGATATATTAAGAAATTAAATGTACTTAATTATTCAGTAAAACCACATGTTATTACAAGGTACAAGGACATTATTAAACATGCCACAGCCTGGCTGAGAGTGAGTTTGGGCTTTTAGAGAAGGGTCCGGCTGTGGCCTGTAGACCAGCGGGCGAGGCTTGAGCATCCACTTAAACATCTGGGGCCATATTACATGGAGTTCCTATCTTAAGTCTTAAGTTAAGATAGGAAGAGTCTAAGATAGGATTTTTCCCAATTTGGTGTTACAGAAACAAACCCTAACTAACACTAGGAATCACATCTTATCTTACTTCCTCCTATCTTATCTCAGGTTAGGAAATCCTAAATAGTCAATCCATCGGTTATCAACTTAAATGTCTGTTACCTAGCAACTGATGCCACTTTTCTCATCTCGCCGAGTTAAACGGCTTTTAATCGCTGTTTTTTGGTAGTTTTTTTTAATGAAACATACACTGAAAATGGAGCAGAAATAACTATCACTGGACTTCAAGTCAGATGACTTAGAGGTATTGGTAACCTCCATCGAGAAATCCAAATTTACATAAAGCTTATTTTGGGAGATTAAAGATAGAGAGTGGGCTAAAAAGGCGGACACAGTCACCGCCGCATAGGCCATCTGGCGGCCAGTGGAGCGTTGATGCTGTCAAAAAGCAAATAAGTCCATTTACAAGTGATATGAAGAGAAAGGCAACTGTTGTGTCCAAAGAGCAGAGGAAAACCGGTGGTGGCTCCTCCTGTGCTCCCTCACTTACCCCGGCAGAAACCCATCTTCTCTGGAAAGTTAAAAACAAATAAATTAATTATATAGTCTGCGGGCTAACGTCATCATGTTTGTCATGTATTTCTTGAATTTAATGATCTCCTATTAAAGACTTTCATTTGGATCCTTTTGTTACATCAAGCCTTTACATAATGAGACATCACCAACTGCCTTTCTACTAATGATTGGTAGAATCAATTAATAAATTTGATTTTGTAAAAGCAATAAAAGAGCAGCCATGTGGATTAAACACTTAAGTTATTAAACACTACCTGGTGGAAAAATAAAGTTAGAAGAGTTTAACAGTTACGCTAAAGTTAGGAGAGTTTAGTTCGGATGCTTGTGAAATACATATTTCCTATCTAGTTAGGAAAGGAATATTGACTTAGGAACTGTTAATCTGTTTAGGGATTTTTCCTAAATCAGTTCCTAACCCTCATTACCATGGTTACCAAGCAGCTAGGACAGGATCTGCCAGTTAGGAAGTTTCTGTCCGGCCCCTGAACTCTTAGGCCCAGATCAGACAGAAAGTGCTTTGCAGGTTTGAAAACACGAGACGCACAGCAACGCCTTTTTTGGTTGAATTTAGAAAAGAGCAGTGCGTTGGTTTTTTTTTTATTATGTCGCTAGGCAACCACCAAATCAGCTTCTTGTCTGTCTAATCAAAGATTAAAGCGCCAGCGATCTGTAATCTTTGGTTTGCTGCTAAGTAATAATGGTCATATTAACAGAAATTTGATCACAACTCAGGTCTGTATCTTTTGTTGCTAAAAACATCTGCTTTAATAAAATAGACAAACGGTGGGTGCTTGCTCTGGCATTGTTTGAGGGTGAGAGGTGTACCCAAAGGAGACTGGGAAATGGAGATCTCTAAGGGTACATGAGACCCTCAGAAGGAGGAGACACCGCTGGTAGTACTACCAGCTGGTCCAGTAGCTTCGTCTTAATGATGGTTGGTTCAAGGCATATTTTAAGATGAGCCGGGCCCAGTTTGTTGCAGTCTCCTAACAATCCAAGCAACTGTAAACTTCCGTCACCACAACTGAGGGCCTGTCTCAATTCATTTGATTGGACAATGGGAAAAAACACAAATGACATTGCTTTTCAAATTGACAGGGCGCTTTTCTGCTCAGAGTTGAATTTTTTTCAACTCTGTGCGCTAAGAACGCACCTTCGAAAACGCTTAGACGCAGCAGGCACCCAAAACGCGAGGTGCCCATGGCGCATAAACAGCGTGCGAAATGCTCACTACCAATAGAATACAATTTTTTTTAAAAGACGCCTCACTGCAAAAAACACGTTATGTCTGATCCGGGCCTTAATGGACTAATGGAGGGCCATGATATCACTATTGGATATAAGTCAAAGTTCATTAGAAAAGAAGGCAATATGCCAAAAATGCAAAGATAATGATTCTTTGTTAGTGCCTCAGTATTTCCCACAGGAGACTATGGTGTGTGGGCCTTGAACCCTCTCACTGAGGGGTCCGGGGCATGCCCCCTCGTAAGAAAGTTTTGTAAATTTTTAAGTTAAATGCATTAATTTGGTGCAAAATTAAGAGGCCATCTATGATGAACTTGGTACGCTTGTAAACAATGTTGTGCTCTAATAAACTATTTGATCATAAACCCATTGTATAGCTATAAATGGTGATGACACATCAACAAAAGTCAACAAATTTATTTAATGTTTTCCCAAAAACCCTGAATCAAAGAATAGTAGAATAAGTAATTCCCCTAACATTTTATTGTTGTTGTTTTTTTTGTTTTATTGGACA